CACACACACACACACACACACACACACACACACACACACACACACACGTAGTTATCCCCCGAGTTCCATATGAGTGCCATGATATTCCCAAAGAAATGGCAATTTACTTTTTTTAAATCTTTTTTAATATATATTATTTATTTATTATGTATACAATGTTCTATCTGCATATACACTTACACGCCAGAAGAAGACACTAGATCTTATTATAGATGGTTGTGAGTCACCATGTGGTTGCTGGGAATTAAACTCAGGACCTCTGGAAGAGCAGGCAGTGTTCTTAACCCGTGAGCCATCTCTCCAGCCCAGAAATGGCAATTTAAAAAGAGAAGCCACTTGTTAGCTGAAGATGTGAGTGTTGGAACCCTTGTGCTGGAGCCCACGTGCATTCAGGCTTGGTTCTGTGGTTTGAAATGCAGAACCCTGGGGAGAAGGTGTGGTGTGGCTGAGGCTCCCAGTCTTGTGGTGCTCTCTGGGTATGAGCTGCTTCCTGGGACAGGACTCCTGACTGGGGAAGCCCTGAGTCACAGGTAGGATGATGAGAGCCTGGGCATTTCTATTTCCTAATCCACACAACAGGGTAAGAGAGATGAAAGGGCATGCTTAGGATACCTGGTGATACTCAGGACCCAGTGCTGCCTGATCCTCCAGCTGGCTGCAATGTTTCAGGCCAGCCAGATTTGTCAACTCCCCCTGGGACTTAAACTCACCCAACTATCTGCTACCTTGAAAGGGACAGGCTTGACTGTGTCAGCCTAGCTTCCCTCATAGCAAAGGGTTCCATCCTGTCCAGTTCTACAATGCCCAGGCAACATTCCAGTACCAATTTTGTTTCTGTTATTATTTTTTTCAGTCTTTTTTCCTTTTTTTTTTGTCTGTGTAGCCCTGCCTGGCCTGAACTCATTATGTAGACCAGGCTAACCTTGAACTCACAGAGCTCCACCTGCCTGTCTCCCAAGTGCTTCTAGCCCCAGTTTCGATGATTTTAGGTTTCCCAGTCTTTGGGATCTGGCTCTTTCTACTCAAGCAATGAATTTAAGACAGGCTGCTATTTTTAGAAAGGTTTCTGTAAGACCTAGGAACTGGGGAGGTACAAGGTATGCTTCCAACGGTAGCAGGCACTCGGGGGCAGGTGTGAGCTAACCACTGCAACTGCCCCAGAACCTTGCCAGTGTAGGTTGCTCAGACCTTCTGAAGAGCAGTTTTGAGGAACAGCCATTAAGGACTAGTGGTGTGGCTCAGGGCAGAGTCCCCTCCTTGGCATACAGGGGACCCTGTGTTCCATCAGCACCAATGCAAAACTTTTTTACAAAAGAAAACAAAAGCACGTGCTAAGGTTGAAAGTCACTGAAAACAGGCTGACACCCACCTAACTACTACACAGGTGGCCTCCCTTTTAGGTTCCGGTAGAGGGAAGGTGAAAGAAGTTAGACTTGTTTATATTCCGTGTGCTGTATGAACACACTTTAGGGAACTTACTTTGATTTCCTTTTTGGCTGGAGTGCTGGGTTGAACCCAGGGCCCTGATCATGCTCTGCAGGCTCGTGCCACTGACCATACCTCCAGTCGGGGGGATGTCACTGAGGCTCAATAACTGCCTAGAACAGCTGCGGACCTGTGCTGGTTAGTTTTATGTCAACATGACACAAGTTCAATTCATCAGAGAGGAGGGAGCTCTCATTGAGAAAATAACCTCCATGAGGATGTAAAGCCTGTAGGGCAGTTTCTTGTTTAATCGTTGAGTGGGAAGGCCCAGCCCATTGTAGATGGTGCATCCCTGGGCGGTGCTCCTGGGCTCTTTAAGAAAGTGACTGAGCAAGCCTTGAGAAGCAAGCCAGTAAGCAGCACCCCTCCATGGCCTCTGCATCAGCTCCTGTTCCAGGTTCTTGCCCCATTTGAGTTTGTGTCCTGATTTCCTTTGGTGATGAACAATGATGTGGAAGCATAGGACAAACCAACCCTTTCCTCCCCAAGTTGCCTTGGTCATGGAGTTTTATCATAGGAATAGTAACCCTAAGACAGAGCCTGGTGCTGCCTGAAGGACTCCCAGAGATGACTGCTGGCATCAGAGCCTGCTGTCACTTTTCTCAGCAGCACTGTGCAGAGGTAGGACACTCTAATTCTAGGAGTGAGGAATGGCACACATTGCTGCCCCACCCTGCTCAGGTGCGGAAGGGCTGGTGGTGATGGTTAAAAAAAGAAAAAAGAAAGCTAAGAGAGAGAGAGAGAAAAAAAAAAAAAAAAAACAAACCCTTGCCACTCTACTTTCATTTCCCTTCAGATTTATTTATACCATGTTCTTGAAAACTAGCATAGTAACCAGAGAGGAAAATCAGTGGGGGTTGGGGGCAGGGCAGGCACAGCCTTCAAGTGTCACGAAGTCAAGAGTCCTGGGATGGTGCACAGTGCATGGGACAGGATTTTCCATAGTTGTAGCAATCCTGGCCTGGTGCCGAGCACAGGAAGTGGGCCTGGCTTTCCTATGCTAGCTGCAGGGGGAGAGGACAGGCCTGTAGGACTTCCTCAGGAGAAGGGGGCCTGCTCAACTGGAGGGCAGCTGGGCAGAGAGACATGGAAGGCTAGGTAGGGGTGGCAGCTAGCACCTCTTCCAGCCTGGAATCCTAGTGCCTGGAGAGCAGCCCAGGCCCCAGTCCACAGCCACGTGCATGGCCACTCTCTAAAGACTTTCAACTTACTAATACTTCTACATGTGTATTCCCATAGCCCTGTCACTCCCTCCAACTGCCTACAAACCATTTTTTTCCCCCAGCTAGTTCCACTCCTATGTTTTTGGTTTTCTTGTTCTTTCTGTGACTCATGAGCTTATTTAGAGCTGCTTACACAAGTATAAGCAACCAGCCAGGGGCCACAGCACTGGCTGATTCCTCCCCATCAGCAACCTACAATCTTGGACACCTTGGACACTTGCTCAGGCCTTTGCTGAGGCTGACAATGAGGAGGAAACAGGTTCCTGGCTAGCTGGAAGGAGCCCACTGTAGACAGCCCTGGTCACCAGCCCTTGTAGGCTGCTGCCCCCACGTGGCCAACATATCCTGATTGCAGGTACTGGGTTTCCAAGGCTCACAACTGCCTCTGCCTCTCTAATGTTAGGTGTTGCAGGAGGCTCCTGAGTGTACCAACTGCAGGCCTCTTGCTAGAAGCCAGGCCTTCCTGTGTATGTTTGTCACTGTGCTGAGAACCTGCAGCATGCCAAGTGTTTCTGGGAAGCTACATGCCACATTGCATGTTGCTACTGCTGCCAGCCTTGGGCAGCTGAGAATCACTGGGGCAGTTGGTAGGTGAGGGAAGGGACCCCATGATAGGTGCTGGCTGCCATCTATGCTTGGTCTTCATCTCCTGCGGTTCCACACCTGAGGGTCCACCCAACCTCACACTGAAGAGAAAAACACTGCGTCTGTACTGAGTACACAGGTGCAGCTTCACTCCTGCTACCTACCATGGAACTATGTACATAGCTCGCACATCCTGCAAGACACCTGAAGGCACCACAGGGTATGGAGTCACATCACAGGAGGACTGCCATCGAGGATTATGATGTCCCCTGGGCATCATGCAACCCATCTTTACGGATACCAAGGGAGGCCTGCACCCTCAGAACTCTATCCCACCGCCTCCTTCAGGTGGAAAGAACCAAGAGGGGACAGGACTGCCACCCTGTGACTCCTTCACCACTGCCTGGCCACATTCGGAGAATGGATTCTGCTAGAGAAACCACGCCTCATGAGGAGCACTTGCAAGGCACAGCAACCATTCTAAGGACAGATGTGTTCCCTGCCAGAGGACAGAAGCAGAGTAGATGAGGGAGCTGGGACAGGTGAGTAGGGTTGTCCTTACATGTTTGCCACCACAGCTGGCTTGACTTCTTTATTTATTGCCAAAGGTGACACCAACATACATCAAACCAACTGACACAATACCCCTAGTGTACTGTGACTTAGTCCCTTCCCACCAAGACCATGACTCCAGCTTAGCAAGGTCTTGCTAAGGATGAACCCTACTGCTTTCCTCTCAGACAGGTCTAACACCCTGTGTGGCCCAGGCTGGCCTCCAAGTCACAGAACAGTCCTCCCACCTGAGCCTATCAAGTGCTGGAGGAAGATGTGCACCCAAGCCCAGCTTTGAGCTGCTCTTCTTGACCAGTTCATCTGGGGTGCTACCTGCCAGCTGATCTCTTGCTGAGCTCAAGATGTGGCTCTCTGACCACATCCATCTTGATGAATGACACCAGTCACAGTGCAGTCCAGAGACAGAGCAGGTAGGCAAGCCTTTCAGAGGTCCCTATTTAACACAGGGCTATGGCTTTTGTCCTTGATGAGCACAAGCTATATTCATGTGACTATTTATTCACATCTACTCTGAGCTTGCCATCCAAAACCCTCTAGAGTTTGGTCCCTGGAGGCTTCAGGCATTTGTATGGTCAACTTTATCCATATACTTCAAGCCTGAGGCCTGTTAACCTGGCCTTCTGTGATCAACATGTCTATCTCTTCCTTTCCTAGGGCCTTGGCAGACAGAAAAGTGTACTGTCTCAGGCCACTGCCTGCCCTTGAGTGTGCTTGGCCACAGAGGAGCTGACTTCATGCCCTGAGATCTGATCCTTGTGTGATGCTAGTGAGAGCAAGATGAGCAATGGTTGACAGCACCAAAGGGACTTGGGCCATGGCAGCATGTATACAAGGTAACATATCCTATCCCAGGTCAGGGGTATTTTCCAGACCCTGCCCACTCACTGCTATGTAAGGTTGTACTCAAGAGTATGAAAAGTACAGGAACATACGTATGTGAGAGCAGTTATGCCTAGCCACCCACACAAGAGGCATGTGGACACAGGCCATGGCTGAGACTCCTTGGGAGGGGCCTTACCTTGGACATCTGGCTGAAGTCAGCAAAGCCCTCGGCACTGCTGAAAGAGCTGCTTCCAAAGGGGTCTAGGGTTCCGAAGGGATCTGTGAGTGGCACCAACAGGGTTGTGGTTATGGTCTGAGCAGATATGCCTAAGGGTCAAGGGTCAATTCTAGGGTCCAGGAGCAAGAGACTCAGGGCTGTGACCGTGTCTGTGAAGATAGCTCTTGTGGGGGCAGTGGATCACAATGATTAAAGGAAGGGTCAGTTCCTGTCTGAGCCTGCCGTCCCACCAGTCCAGGAGAAGCAGGCATGATACAGATGAGATGACAGAATGAGACATTTAAGGGTAGCCATTTATAAACGTATAGGGTTAACAGCTGGGAGAGACTCTCTCTTCTTTAAGTCTCACTCTGTAACCCAATGGAACTTACAGAGATCCCCCTACCTCTGACTTCTGATTAGTAGGATTGTTAAAGTTGTATACTATCATGCCTGGTTCTGTTTTGAAACTAGTGATCCTCAGTTTTCCAGTGCTGGGATCAGACATGAGTGATACCATGCTTGGGAAACTGGACTGTTCATTTCATTAAGAACAATGAGCAAGTCCGGTGTGGTGGCACACACCTGTAATACCAGTACTCTGGGAGGCAGAGGCGGGCAGATTTAAGGTCAGCCTCGTCTACAAAGCAAGTCCAGGACAGCCAGGACTACACAAAAAAACCTTGCCTTGGGAAAAAAAAGAAAGAAAGAACGCATGAACGAACGAATGAACAACGAACAATGAGCAAATGGTCCTCACGGCACTGGGCTTAACAAAAAGATTCCTACTGTCTGGAAGGATGCCAGCTACTGTAAGGGATGAGATTAAGGCAGGGGGTATGGGGGACTACAACACATTCACTTTGGCCTAAGAGTCTCAGGCAAGGACCTGAAAGTTCCATCTGAGGCTACACTAATCTGGAGGATTACTGAGGGGTGATGTGAGCTACGGAGGTCAGGAGCTTCAAAAGTCTCACCTGATCCTTTCGAGGAGATGCTGGAGGATGAGAAGGGATCACTGGACTCAAATGGGTCGAGCTGAGGGAGAAGACAGAAAGAGTTTATTCTGCCATCTAGCCACTCAATTTCCCTAACAATTTCAAATGCCATAAATACCTCGGGAGGATGGGTGACTTAGACAACCCTGGACAGTGTAGGATAACCCCCAACAGATGCCCTGCTGCAGGTAACACTAATGAATTCTATGGTCCCCACAAATTACCAATGAACCAAAGGCCTGAGAATCGAATCACAGCCACATACAGACAGTATTAAGATGTGGCAGAAGGGATGAGGGTGGAGCTCTGCCCAGGATTCTTCAGTGAGAGGTAGTATTGCTCAATAATGGGAGGAAAGTCTTGTCGTCCAAATGACATATGCTTGGCCCATTCTATGTCTACTTAGCTTGGTGGTACATGCCTTTAATCATAGTACTGGAGAAGCAAAGGCAGATCTCTGAGTTTTAGGCCAGCCTGGTCTACAAAGAAAGTTTCAGGACAGCTAGGGCTATACTCACTGAGAAACCTTGCCTCAAAAAAGCCAAAAATAAATAAACAAACAAATAAGTAAGTAATAAAAGAGTACCTAACTCTTTTAAATTTACACCTGTCATCCCAGTGCGCAGAAGGCCAAGGCAGGAAGATTGGTGGATCTTTGAGGCCAGCTGGGACTACCCAGAGAGACTATGCTTCAAAAGGAATACAGAGAAATAAAGAAGAGTAAGAGAACCAGATATAACCCATCAAAGCAAAAATGACAACACTCCAGCACTCTGAAGGCGGAGGGAGGCAGGCAGGTTTCTGTGAGTCCCAGGCCAGTCAGGGATATACAGAGAGCACCTATCTCCAAAAAAAAAAAAAAAAAAAGGTCAAAACAGTTACAAGCACTGGCTACCCTTCCAGTGGGCCAGAGCTGGGTTCCCAGCAGCACCCACATGGTGGCTCACAACCACCTGTAATTCGAGGTCCAGTGATCTGACACTCTCTTCTAGCCTCCATAGGTAACAGGCACTCATGTGGTACACAGACAAACATGCAGACAAAACATCTATACAAATAAAATAACAACTCTTTAAAATCTTTTTTTTTTTTTTTTTGCTTCACTCTCCTGAGTAGATAGGACAACAGATGTGGCCACCATGCCCAACTACATGTTTTGCTGTAGAAGATGGAGTGGAGGTGGAAGCACAGGACCACAGCAATGGAAAGGGGCTGGAAGGGACAAGAGTTATTTGAAAAGCCGCTGTGGCTCCAACTTGGAGCTGTAGTACCCTGGCTCACAAGTCAGGACTTGGCAATGACAGCACAGAAAGCCACTTCACCAACCAGGAAGAGACCAGGCTTGTAATCATAGCTCCTGGCCATGCAGGCCAGCCTCCCCCAACACTATGAACCAATCCCAACACACATCAGATCAGACTCTGTCAAAGGAGCCCTGCAGAAATCGCTCACCTTTGAAGGTAAGGAGGAGTTCTTGGTGAAAGGGTCTGAGGTAAACGGGTCATTCTTTGTCTGTTTCTTGAAGAAGTCATCACTGGTTGAGCTGTGGAATGGGTCACTTTCTTTGAAAGGGTCCCCTCCAAATGGGTCTGGAAAAAGAGAGCACAAATGGTAAGCAATGACACCAGGGAGATTTATGAAAGGACAGCGGTGGGGAGACACAAGGAGAGCACACCAGGGACAGAGGGCTCAGGATGTGGTAGAAACTCTGGTGACTGAAGTCGGTTGTCCAGGGGTCAGAATGGGGACAATGGCCACAGGTTAGGAGAACCTTCTTTGATTTACTCCAATCTTCTACAATTCTACACATCTATCAAAGGCTTTACTGGGCAAGAGAGACAGCAAAATGGATGTAAGCGTTTGTTGCCCACCCTGACAGACTAACCCACATGGAGGAAGATAACTGACTCCTCCAAGTTGTCCCCAACCTCTACATGTCACTCTTGTCTCTCGTGCGTGCGCACGAGCAAGGACACACACACCAATATTTAAATAAAAGTTTCATGAGACAGGATCTTGCTATGTTGACCTGCCTCTGCCTACTAAGTTACTGGAGTGCTGGGATTAAAGCTGTGTGCCACCAATGGCCAGCTTATAAAATTTTTTTAAAAGAAGAATTCTGTGGTGTACACATTATGCTCTGTAGTAAAACTGCATTTAAAAATAATAACCAGGGAATAAAAAAATAGCTCAGCTGTTAAGAGTATTGGCTGCTGTCAGAGGACCTGGGTTCAATTCCCAGCACCCACATGGCAGCTCACAACTGTCTGCAGCTCCAATTCCAAGGAATCACACACACACACACACACACACACACACACACACACACACACACAC